TAATATATATATATATGTGGTTTGTTTTTGATGATTCATTGTTCAAAATTACCCACTTTGTAAAAAGAACTATTAGCTAGGCCATACACCTGATTGGTGTTCTCTCAACAACCCACCACTAGAAATGTTTGATGTTAGGAAAGCTCAGCCTAAAATGAAAAGAACATTTTCAGGGGCTGAAGCAGTAACTTAGCAGTTAAGAGCAGTGGTTGCGGGCTGGAGAGATGGTTCAGCGGTTAAGAATAGTGACTGTTCTTGCAGAAGACCTGAGTTCGAATTCTAGCACCCACATGGCAGCTAACAACTGTCTGTAACTCCAGTTCTAGGGGATCCAACAGCCTCTTCTGTCCTCCGCGGGCACTGCATGGCATGGGTGCACTTACATGCAAGTATAACACTCATATGCATAAAATAAAAATAAAAAATAAAATATTTTTTTAAAAAAAGAGCACTCGTTGCTATTGAAGAAGATCTAAGTTTGGTTCCAAGAACCCATGTGGTAGCTAATAACTATCTGTAAAACCAGTTCCAGTGTATCTGACACCCTCTTCTGGCCTCTGTAGGCACTGCACAATTGTGCATGCACATACATGCAGACAGAACATTCATACACATAAAATAAAAATTTAAATAAGTGTGCCTCAGACTAGTGAGAGTGATGAGTTTATCCCAGGCTGTCATTGCTTAAATCATTTAATGGGCAAAATTGTTTCTTCACCTTATAGTTACTTTGTGGCTGAGCTCATTGAGTGTTCTAAATAATGTTGTTAGAAGAGAAAAACAGCCATGACTGTGTACAATTACATTCTGTGTTTTATGATACAAATAGAGCTAATAGTTGCCAGGATCATACATTCAGAGAGAAACAGAAATATTGGGGAATTTTAAATTAGTATAGTAGCCGGCTGTGGTGTCCCAACCTTTAATTCTAGCACTCGGGAGGCAGAGGCAGACTGATCTCTGGGAGTAGATGAACTCAGCCTGGTCTACGTAGTGAGTTCCAGGCCAGCTGTGACTACAGGGAGACCCTGTCTCAAAGAAACCAAAAATGGGCTGGAGAGATGGCTCAGCGGTTAAGAGCACTGGTTGTTATTGCAGAAGACCCAGGTTTGAATCCCAGTACCCACATGGCAGCTAACAACCATCCATAACTCCAGTTCAGTGGGATCCAACGGCTAGGGCATTGCACAACACATACCTGCAGTCAATATACTCATAAGATAAAAATAAAGTTTTTTTTAACAGACCCCCTAAAAAATTTAATGTAGTTCTATTTCTCATAAAGTAGAATTTGATTGTCCTGATTTTCCATCTAGGACAATTAGATCCCCTGGAACTGAAGTTACAGATGGCTGTTAGCTGCTGTATGGATGCTGGAGCCAATCCTGAGTCTTCTGCAATAACAGCCAGTTTTCTTAACCTCTGAGCCATCTCTCCAACCCCTGAATTGTTTTTATAAAAACTACCTTGTGCATCTTTATAACATTTTTAGTATAAAATCGTAAGATTTTAAAGTGATGCTTCCTGGGGTTTGTGATGCCATTTTATTGATTGGCATGTAACAAGAGATGTGGCAAAGAAAAGTCTTCCTAAAGTTAAAAGTACTTCTACGTCACTGTTTCACTTTCTTTCAGACACAGTAATACATATCACTGTAACCTGCAAAGGGTCATTTAAGTTACTCTCAACTTAGGAGTTTTGGTTTACTCTGTTATTCAAAATTCCATTTTAACTGGGATTAACTTGAGTGTGATTATGCATTGTTGAATTTTACCAATTCTCTTAATATAATAGGGATATACATACTTTAAGTTTTCTAATACTATCATCTTAGCCATGAATGTATTTTTATCACACAGGGGCTATTTTTGGAGCATTGCAAGATATACTTGGGAGCCGTTCAGTTTCAAAGGAATATTATAACCAGACCGGCCGTATACCTGATTGGTGTTCTCTCAACAACCCACCTTTGGAAATGATGTTTGATGTTGGGAAAGCTCAGCCACCTCTGATGAAAAGAGCATTTTCCACTGAGAAATAGATGTTAAAACTCAGCCTTGCTTGATTTCAAATATTTAATCAACTATAAGTAAATTGTACAAAGTATATAGAATGCTTTACTGTATATTGATGACTTTTGTGTAACTGAAAGCATTTCTGTATTTTTCTCCTTGCATTCATATTTAATTCATCTAGCTTTGTCTCTTGTGTAGCATGGTGAAGTAGCTGATGCTTGTGACATATGATGTATTTATATCAATAAAATATTAGTTAAGCAGTATAATTTTGGAAGTTTGTTACATAGATCAGTTTCCCCCAGAGTTTGCATAATCTGTCCTGAGCATTATAGACTCCATTATTTTACTATTTTAGCAGTTATTTTATTTCGTGAATGAGCAATATTAACCATTGTTATTTCAGGTATTAACATGGTTCTTTTTTAAATCCTGTTTTAGCACTTACGTGTCCATGTTAAGTAGGACTGCCTTTCCAGTTGTATTTGATCCTTTGCCTGAAAATTTTTGGTAGCAGGCTGTTAAGGAAAGTGTAGAACTGTTCACTTTTTAACTTTACATGTTCTTTTATGAATACCTCTACATTTCTAAGTAGAGGTAAGTGTGCTTTTTTTATAACATCTTTATCAGCATGTTCATGATGACAGTGTTCTTTGCTTTTGTGTTTTATATTTTAGCACAAAAGTTCTTTCAAGTAATGTCATCGCTTGTTTAACTCTTCTTTTCCTTCAGTTGTTTTAATGAACTACCTCCTGTAGAAATTTTTCTGGTCTTGTTCTTAATGGGTACCTATGAAGACAGGAAATGTGTGCGTGTGTGTGCGTGCGTGTGTGTGTGTTTACATGCCTGCAAACAGTAGGAATTGATACACTGGTCCGGATAGCCCTAGCTACACTTACATTCAGAGATTAATTACTTTAATTTTGCTTTTATGAATCTTTCCAAGTTTTGCCATATCCTTTATGCATGAAGATAACTGTCCTGGCATTAAAGATAGGAAAAGAGCCAGAAACAGTGGCGTACTTCTGTGATCCTAGCACTTGGGAGGTGGAGGAAGGAGGATGAGGAATTCGAGGCTGCCTCAGTTGTGCAGGGCTATGAGACTATTCCCCCAAAATAAAAATAATTTGGGGGTTTTGTCTTGTGTTGTTTTGTTTTGAGACAGCTGACCTAGAACTCACAGAGATCCACCGGCCTCTGTCTCCCTACTGCTGAGACTAAAGGTATGTGCCACCACATCTGGCCGTGTTTTACTTTTAAAATTTTTATGTGTATGATTGTTTTGCCAGCATGTATGTAAGTGAATGCATGCACGCAATGCCTGCACAGGCCAGAAGAGGACATCAGATCCCCTGGAACTGGAGGTACAGACAATTGTAGCCACCCTTGTGTTTCACTTTTTATTTTACTTTTTAAATTTTATGTGTATTAATGTATTGCCTACATGCATGCGAGTACATTGGTGTTGTCCAGTGCCCTCAGAGGTCAGAAGAGGGCATCAGATCCCCCAGAACTAGAGTTACAGGTGGATGTTAGCCGTCATATGGATGCTGGGATTCAAACCTACGTCCTCTCCAAGAGCAGTCAGTGGTCTTAACTGCTGAGCCATCTCTTCAGCCCATGTTTTACTTTTTAAAATAGCCTGTGGTTTGGGGGCTAGAGAGGTGACTACAGCAGTTTATGGTCTTGTAGAGGACCAGGGTTGGTTCCCAGCACCCACATGGTAGCTAACACCCACCCGTAACTCCAGTTCCAGGAGACTCAATACCCTCTTCTGGCCTTTGAGAGGACTGCACATGTATGGTGACCTTACATATATGTAGGCAAAACGTAAAAATAATTTTTTTTGGTGTTTTTGCTACAGGGTCTCCCTATAGTCCCAGCTAGCCTGGAACTTGCTGTGTAGACCAGGCTGGCCTTGAACTCACAGAAATCCACATGCCTCTGCCTCCTGAGTGCTGGGATTAAAGGCGTGAGCCACGACGTCTGGCAATAAAAATTTTTTTTAGTACCCATAGCTCTACTTTGTCATTATATGCCCCTTTACCAGCAGAAAACTAGGATTCATTCAATATTCACTGAATACCTGTTGTGCACCCAGTGTACTTCTAGCTACTACAACAGTAAGACATGGACCTTTGTCCTTTAGGAAGGTCGCAGGCTAGTAGAAATAGATGTGTACACAAACGATTGCACAAAATTGGTGGATGCCATAAAAGCTGTCATTTGCTTGTTATTACTGGTGTAATTAATTTGGATGATGGAACAGAGGAAAAATGTGTAAGTGGCTTTTGACCTGGTCTTGAAAAATAGGATTTTGGTAGTAGGGAGTTAGTTACTCTGTGAACTGAATTCTCTCCACAACACAGCAAATGACAGGATGATACTAAAACCAAGGGTGACATTGAGATGTTGCTAATTACAATTTAAGGAGGAGTGCCAGGCATGGTCAGCACTTTTAATCTCAGCTCTCACAGGCAGAGGTAGGTGAATCTGAGTTCAGGGCCATCTGAGGCTACAGGGAAACCCTGTCTCAAAAAAATAATAATAATAATAATAATTTAGGGAAGAGTTCATGAGTTTTAAATTCATGTTAAAATAGTAAATGGAACTGAAACTTCAAGTTGGCCATACGTTTTCTAATTGCTTTTTCCTAAAGGTGGTTTTGTCCGTCCTGTAGTACGCTCACTTTTGTACAGCACCCTCCTCCAAAGCCATAGTCTCAGTGCATTATCTCTCAGGAAGCACTTTCACCTTGTGGGCCTTTTTTTTTTTTTTTTTTGGTCTTTTTGAAACGGTCTCCCGTAGCCTCACTATGTAGACCAGGCTGTCCTTGAACTCACAGAGATCCACCTGTCTCTGCCTCCCAAGTGCTGGGAGTAATGGTTTCTACACAGCTGTCATCTCTTGAATGTAAGCTCTAAAAGGACAGGTTCCCCTGAGTGCTGGCTGCAGTAAATATGTTTTAAGTTGTGCAGTGTGCATGGTTGCACACACCTTTAAACCTAGCACCTGGAAGGCAGAGGCAGGCGGATCTCTGTGAGCGCAGCCTGGTGTCCATAGCAAGCTCCAGGACAGCTGGAGCTACAGGAAGACCCTGTCTCAAAAAAAATCCTCAGTAGTCCTGATGCAGGATTAATATTCAAGGCCAACTTGGGCTACACAGTGGGATTCAGTCCCACAAGAAATTACACATTGCTTTCATATAGATTGTCTTACTGAATTTAGATTATTTTAAAATTAGTTGTCATTGAATAATATGTAAAACATGCCTGTGATCGAGATAGGGCTTTATATGACAATCTATAAAGTGACAGATTACTAGTCACAGAGTTTAAAGAATAAAGACTTCTCTTAGAGGTTGAATTGTGTCCCTTCCCTCAAAAAGCATGTTGAACTCTTAGGCCCAGTACCTGTGAATGTGACCTTATTTGGAAGCAGAGTTGCAGACAATTTAAGATGACGTCATTAGGATGGGCCCTAATCCAATGTGACTGGTGTCCTTATAAGAAGAGTAAAACATGGTGACCAAGGCAGCTTGAAGTTATGCCCCTACAAGCCAAGGAACGCCAAGAATTGCTGGTGACAGCAGAAACAGGCACAGAACACATTCTAGAAGGAAGCTTCTAGCCTCCAAAACCAAGACAAACATGCTAACCATAGTAAACTAATACACTCTCCACCGGGCATGGTGGTGCACGCCTTTAATTCCAGCACTCTGGAGGCAGAGGCAGGCAGATCTCTGTGAGTTCGAGGCCAGCCTGGTCTCCATAGTGAATCCAAGCCAGCTACAGGGAGACCCTGTCTCAAAAAGTCAAAAAAACAACAAAACCTAATATACTGTCCTTAATGCATGAATACTAATTTTGGTCCTTCAGATACTTTAGCAAGCAAAACAAAAATCCTGCTTCCTGAAACATATTCCAAGGGAATGGGAGAAGTGGGGGAGATTGATGGTAGCACGAATTAAGGATTATTAACGTCCTTGGAAAAAATAAAAGCAGAGTGAAGTGGTTAATTCCAAAAGGGTAGTTAGGGCTGTGTTCATTCCAGTGACTTTCAGACAATGGTAAGTTAGACAACCGAGTTAATTGTGGATATTTAGGAGAAAAAGTGATGTGGGTGCCTGGTATGATGGTGTACAACAGTAATCAACCCTTGGGAGGAGGACTGCTGAGAGTTCCAGGTTAGCCTGGGCTTCACAATGAGTTCCAGGCCAGCCTGGGCTATAACAAGACCTTGCTTAAAGAAAAATAGAGCTGAGGAGATGACTCAGTAAGTGCAAGCATGAGGACCTAAGTTTGGATCCCCAGCCAGCCCCAGCCCTGGCGAGGCAGACAGAGGACTCCTGGGGCTTCCTGGCCAGCTCGTCTAGCTAAATGAGTGAGTTCCAGGTTCAATGAGAGACCCTGTCTCAAAAAAAAAAAAAAAAAAAAAAAAGAAAGAAAAAAAAGGACAGAGAGTGATAAAGGAAAACAATCTCTAGCCTACCAAGTGCACACACAAATGTATATAGGCATACACGCCCACCACACACACACACACAGTAATAGAGGAAGAAGAATCCAGTGACAAGAGCCTTAAGGAAGAGCTCACTAAGATCCAGGATCAACAAGAAGATCTGTTCATAAACGAGGAAAAGAAAATAGGAGATCAGGTCAGAGGTTGGGCATATCCTATAAGGACAGTTTTATTGAATACAACTGTGCCTTTAAAGTTTTGACCAAACTAATGAATATGACTTGTTTTAACAGGATCATTCTGTGTTCTATAAGAATAGTGCTTGGGAGGTGGGGGGGCTGGAGAGATGGCTCAGTGGTTAAGAGCACTGGATGCTCTTGCAGGGCACCCAGGTTTGTTTCCCAGCACCTACATGGTAGCTAACAACCATCTATAAATCCAATTTCAAGGGAATCTTTTCAGGGGAATCTGATGCCCATTTCTGACCCTGCAAGGGCATTGTACGACAGAGGTGCACTTAAATACATGCAGGCAATACACTCATACACACGAAATAAAAATATTTTTAAAAAGAACAGTGCTTAGGGAGACAGACCGAACAAGAACGCAAAGTAGCTTTGCAGTCTTGCAGGTGAGGTGATGATCTGAACAAGAGTACTAGCAAGAACACCAAGACGTCTGATTGTGGATACAGACTGAGGGTGCCAAAGTAAGATTTCCTGAAAGGTTCAGTGTGCGTGCTTCAGCCATTGGTTGCTATATAACAAACTGCTGCAAGCCTCAGGGCTTAAAACAAGAATTTCATTTG